TGAGAGCCTTAGAGAGAGAGGGGTAGATATGTGAGAGCCTTAGAGAGAGAAGGGTAGATATGTGAGAGCCTTAAAGAGAGAAGGGTAGATATGTGAGAGCCTTAGAGAGAGAGGGGTAGATATGTGAGAGCCTTAGAGAGAGAGGCGTAGATATGTGAGAGCCTTAGAGAGAGTGGGGTAGATATGTGAGAGCCTTAGAGAGAGTGGGGTAGATATGTGAGAGCCTTAGAGAGAGTGGGGTAGATATGTGAGAGCCTTAGAGAGAGTGGGGTAGATATGTGAGAGCCTTAGAAATAGAGGGGCAGTTATGTGAGAGCATTAGAGATAGAGGGGCAGTTATGTGAGAGCATTAGAGATAGAGGAGCAGTTATGTGAGAGCATTAGAGATAGGGGGCAGTTATGTGAGAGCCTTAGAGAGAGAGGGGTAGATATGTGAGAGCCTTAGAGAGAGTGGGGTAGATATGTGAGAGCATTAGAGAGAGTGGGGTAGATATGTGAGAGCCTTAGAAATAGAGGGGCAGTTATGTGAGAGCATTAGAGATAGAGGGGCAGTTATGTGAGAGCATTAGAGATAGAGGAGCAGTTATGTGAGAGCATTAGAGATAGGGGGCAGTTATGTGAGAGCATTAGAGATAGAGGGGCAGTTATGTGAGAGCATTAGAGATAGAGGGGGCATATAGAAGGGCAGGTAGGTGGTAATGGACCATAGAAAGGAGCTGGTATTGTGACATGTTATCTGAGAGGGGCACATGATGCCAGTATTGGGAAGAGCTGATACCTGCCAAGGTAATGAAGTAGAGAAATGGACAGGGTAACAGGATGAAGTAAATAGAGGCAGATATGTATCACTATAGTTGGGAGAGGGGTAAGTAGGTGACACAATAGCAGACATATTGACAGGTAAGTGACAAGGTGACAAAGTCATGGCTATAGCAAAGAGGAGCAGAAAGTCACATGGTAAAAGAATGACCAGCAAGGGGTACAGAAGCCCAAATCTGTGTAGTTATTGCAGCTAATTACCTCTCCCTGGGAAATCAGCAGATATCTCTCTGCAATCCTACTGCAGACACAGCTCCAGGTCACTCCAGATGCATGCCGGGATATGTAGTACCTCGCTCCAGTACTAGATATGACTAAAGCTAACTGTGGACCACAACTCCCAGAATCACCCTCGCGGCTACACTTCCTACTTGGCCTTCAAACCATATTATTGGCTGAAGCAAACAGATAACCCAGGGAAACACCTCCCCTACCTGTGTTATATATACAGTATATATATATATATAGTTTTATATTTACAGAGTTCATGGCAAGGTGCTATACAACTGGACTGCTATGTGGATCCAGTCTTTCTCTTTGTATTTACCTTGTTTTGGTGGCCTCTGGACTGTGGCCATAGTCACTATTGTTAATTTCTGTTTATCCATCTCTTATGTGAAAAATCACATACAGTGTTATTCGATGAATTTTACAAATACACGTAAAACACCAAGCGCCAAAACCCATACAGCCCACCATAGTGGTTATGGTGCCAGGAGTGTCGTGGCGCTTGGAGTATTAATCCCAATCAGAAAGGGTAAGAAATGTGAACTAAGTGACTTAAAAAGGGACACTAAAGGCGCTCAAACTACTTTATCTAATTGAAATGGACTGGGTGCACTGTCCGTGTTCCTGTCACCTTAAGCCTGCAAGTGAAAAGATTGCTGTTTCAGAGAAACAATGTTTATATTGCAGGGCTAAGACTGCTTCTAGGTAGGGGCTGTCTCCCAGACTTCTTGGCCTTTCACAGAGTTTAAAGGGACACTCCAGGCACCCAGACCACTTCTGCCCATTGGAGTGGTCTGGGTGCCAACTCCCACTACCCTTAACCCTGCAAGTGTAATTATTGCAGTTTTCATAAACTGCATTAATTACCTTGCAGGGTTAAGTCTATCAGACAGCCACTAGAGGGACTTCCATGTTCTTATTACACGAAACGTGTTTTAAACGATGCTGGAGGTCCTCACACTATGTGAGGACCTCCAGCGTTGCCGAAATTCCCATAGGTCTAATGCGCATTTGCGGCCATTGCCGCCCATGCGCATTAGGTCTCCCCCGCCAGCTGACGTCGGCGGGGGAGGAGAGTAGGTGGTGCCTGACCCAGCGCCGAGAGACATCAGCGCTGGACTCGGGTAAGTCACTGAAGGGGTTTTAACACTTTCAGCAACTTGGGATGGGGTGTGGGAGGGAGAGGAGCACTACAGGGTCCTGCAATATGTTTTCCTGGCACTGGAGAATCCCTTTAACTCCATGAAGCGTCACTAGACATCCTCACGCTTTGCATGAGTACGCCCAGCTTCTTGAAAATCCACATAGGAAAGCATTGATTCAGGGTCGTCTCACATGCGCATTAGGCTCACCCCCTCCGCCCCCATCGCTGATGCTAGAGGAGATAGAGAGTACACTTTAATTCATTAGGCGTTTAACCTTGTAATTTGTAACTTGAACAATGTATTTCTTTTTAACTGTACCATGTTTCACCCGATATATAAAAGAATAAATATTGTAAAAAAAAAGAAGAAAAAAAAGAAAAAGAAATCTGAGTTGCTAAACTGGAAACCAAAGAGAAAAAAAAAAAGGAAGCTAGGACACTGTAAATATCCCCTGATACCTGATACTAATGTGGAAATATTTAAGACACAAGTTACAGTAGAAGTGCAGTAAGCTTGCTTGAAAAAAGTGGACTTCTGTGTAGATCTGTAGAACGCAGACAGACAAATATGCACAAAAAAGCAACAGCAACAACTGTTGGGCAAATGTGAAAGTCATTTTAGAGGGAGGTTTGAATAACATTTCACACATAAAAGGAACACTATAATATTAGAAACACAAACATATTCCTGACACTATAGTGTAAAATGACTATTTAGGTCACGGCTCCCATCTCTTTACACAGTAAAAAGGTGATGTTATTCTCCTTTTTTCAGCGCCTAGCCGTGGCTGTTCTCTCCTTGCTCCGCCTCGTTGGCTGAGATCATCAAACATGAAATTCTCAGCCAATCCAATGCTTTGCCATAGGAAAGCATTTGGAGGCTATTTCAAACCAGAAACTTCCTTTAGTGGCTGTCTGGTAGACAGCCACTAGAGGTTGAGTTAACCCTGGATAGTAATTATTGCAGTTTCTCAATAACTGCAATAATTACTATTGGAGGCTTAAGGGACACAGCTCATTGCACCCAGACCACTTCAATGAGCTGAAGTGTCTGGGTGCCTACAGTGTCCCTTTAAGCTGTAGTGGTTCTGGTGACTACAGTGTCCCTTTAAGGAAACACCCTGTTAGATTTATATGGACGTTTTCTGACACATATTCCTTCCCCATTATTACTCACCAATATTAAACTAAAAAATGGAAATGAATAAATGAGTCAGTGTCTGTTTTGTTTTTCAACTATCATTATCGTGTAATAGAATTGTCCTACATTGCCAAGCTATTATAAGGTGTAGTTAGTGGTAGCAGGTGAATTATCATCTTTTCATAACTATTGAAGTAACTTGGTAACTAATTTAGATCAAGAACACCATCAGTGTTATTCACAAAAGTTAGAATTCAAAGAGAATTTCCAATGTAAGGTCACATTAGCTGAACTGGAAAAATTATCTAAGACATCTTTGTTTTCAATTTAACTAATCTGGTTTTACATTTGAATTCTCAATTATCGAATAACCCAGTAACTCTGAATGTTTTATTTGCACATACGCATCTATCAACACATTTATTGCAGTTTAAACACACACTGCAAGTTTTACAGGTGCAGACAGAGAGATGTGATACATATGACACATGTAATGTAAGTATAGAAAAATGGTGCTGGGATATAATTGAGGGGCACGAGGATTTGGACCTCAGGAGGACTTGCGGATGATGACTAATCGGAAATCTGTGAAGCTGTGAAGTAGGCAGATGCATAAATGTTACCTGCTAATGTGACAATACAAAAACACATATCATTATAAAAGGTGCAAAAAAAAAAATTTTTTTTTTTTTTTTTTTTATAAAGACATCGGAAGTGTGCAAACAAGTATAATTAGGAGATGGAAGCAGATACAGAGAATCCATCCAGCTCCAGCAGGACCTCTTGTTCAGAGCTTGACATCCTATGGCACGGATGCCATCGACGGCACACATGGTGTCTTTGGAAGATTAGGTGCCAATGCACAGCCGTGGCAGAGTAATAACAGTGCAATTTACAGGAAGCTGTCACATTTTGATAGCCAAAACCCCATGGATGATGGTACAGTTCATCCTATGAGAGTGGCAAGCCAGCCTGGTTAGGCTTAGATTTTGCATAGGAATTCAGTGAAGAAGGAGGTGTGTATAATGACCAGCTGCACACACACCCCTTAAGTCTCCGCTTCAGCCTAAATACACAATACAGAGCAAAGACATTGCATGACATGATGTCATAACATTGTGCTTTGAAATATTTACTTACACATGGAGCCACTGGTCCCCAGGCAACAGTATGCACCATATGGCAATCAAGGTAAAGGGAGGCGGCAGTATAAAGCTTTTAAATTATAGGATATATTGCAGGGATATTGAGTTCAAAGGGGAAGGCGGAAAGTATCAGGGGTGTAAAATTTTCTTAAATTGACATAATTGGCTTGGGTGTACAGAAATTGCCTCTAATTGTATACACGTAGAAATACACAGGAATACTGACACAAAGCATACACAGCAACACTCATAAACAGTACATACACAAAACACAGCAACACACATACACAGAATAACACCAACACATGTGTACAAATATTGCATGTGCATTCTTAGGCAATAAAATTA